ACACTTATCCTTAAGCTGAATAACTTGAACCTGAGAAGAATTTCGTAAATTACTTATACACAACCATGAACAGAAGTTTTTAATTACAAAATTAGGCCTTTGAGTAAAAATGAAAATGTTATTAAGATGAGACATAATTCTATATATATATTCTGACCAAGAGGTGAATGGATTGTATACAAAAAAACAAGCAACTGTCACATACCTTCTCTGCAGCCAATTTCTGTTCAGCAATCTGTTTGGAGGATCGAATGTCAATTTTCAAACATTTGATCTTCTTCTTCAGTCGACACATTCTCCTGTTTTGTTCAGTCTTATTGCACTGAACTTTAATGACCCGAACAACTGTACGAGTCACTGGTTTGGTGCCTTGTAACCGAGATGAAGTGATTTCTCTAGGTCTTGTTGGAGTTTGCACCATTCTCAGCTTCTTAAGTAGGGGTGTCAGCTGGGTTGATGGACCAGGAAGAGGTGATTTGTTTGGGATGATGAACTCATCTGTCAGCTTAACTCCTCTAGCACCCTTCCTCTTGTAGATGTTATCCAGATCCTTGCATAGTTTTTTAGAGCTGTAGTATTGTCCATCAGCTTTCAGCAGTCTGTTAAACAACCTTGATTTCTTCTGAACCCCTGCTTTCCATCGATTGATTGCAATAACCACTTCATTTGTTACATTTTTCCCTTGAAGCAATTCTTCAGGAATTTCCTCAGGACAGTTTAACCAACTTTCTTTAATAGTACAAACAAGGAACTTTGTCAACACTGTTTTTATATCAAACTTGCTCATCAATGTTTCTTCTGAAAATATCATAGAATAAGGATTCAAACATGAAATACCAATTCATGGGGAGCTTCAGAAGTTATCTAAAAGTAGGTATAGATGTTTTTGCAACGCTATGATCAAAAGCAAAGTAGTGTAGTATTTGAGGGAAGGAGAGCAAAACAATCAACTCAGTGAGTAGCTTTCACGTGGTAAAATCAATTGTATTGGTCCTCCTCCCAAAAAATAGTGCACTCTATAGTGTGCTATTTGTGGGGAGGGGTTGCTAATCTATTTTTATTTCTGATACCTTATAACGTATAATTACCAATGATAATACCATAAAAGGTATCAAAACAAATTTGCGCTCGCTCCCCACAAATAGTACACTCCATTACCAGCAGAAAGTGATTAAAAGTAAACAGCAGTAATTTGTCAGCAAAAGTATTTTCAGCACCAGCATTAAATAACAAGTTTACTTAGATTCATGCCGTCGTGGGATAAATTACCTCCACACAAGTAGCCATTTGGATATAACCCAGAAGAGTTTTCATCATGTGTTCAATGTCTCCGCCAATACAATGAAAAAGAAGAGATCAGGGTCTGTTATATCAAATGTGCAAATAAAAGAACTTTAAGGCCATCTTATCCTAAGCTTTTAAAACTTAATACCATACTGTCTACAGCATAGTTAAGGCCATATAAACAGGATATTTCACATGTCAGGTACCCTGGAAAATGTGGCTGGTAAAATAAGTGATTAGATCCCTTATCCCTTCTATGTAATGTGAAAAAAATTGAGTGGCCTGACGTTGCATAGGAACTTTAAAATCAATGCTACATCTAGTCTAGACTATGGAGGCTTTACAATTTGGTCAAACTCGAAGCCAAGCTTGAGTTCTTCTCTGAGTTCTGACAGTGGGGTGCAAGAGTTGGGATGGTCACCTAAATGTGGGATTTGATGAGGTTTGAGGGGTAAAGTTGATCCTAGTGTTAATTCACGTCATCACTAGACTTTGCTCGTAAAGATAAAATTAGTGATATCTCATGCAACTGATCCCTCACAATTGTTTCCATGAACTATGAAAACTTCAAAGGCCCGGCCCTGAATAGATACTATAACTTATATTTAGTCTAAAGGTATCGAGTGGTCTGGAATAACAAGATTCTAGTTTTTAAGGTGTGGTGTCAAGCAAATCTAAATGCATTCTAGCAAAAAGTTTCCAGTGAAGTAGTTTCACAACTAATGTGGTGTCAAGTGTGACGATTTGCATTCTCACCCGGCACCCATGATACATTCTACACATAGTTCTACACTTTAAGTGGTGTCAGCCATCAGTGACGAAAACCGTGAACTGATTGACACCATATGAAATATCCTGAAACACAGACCCTATGATATTTTAAACCAAGTTCAGAAGGACACTACAGCAATTTCATGTATATTTAGAATACCCCATGATAATACTTAAATTCTTTTAACAGTAATACTAATAGATAAATTGGGTTGCTATTGCTAACATGAAATCAAAACAAGTTTATTAAGACGGAACAGTTACACTCATATCGGCCTTATAGAACACTTCTTCTTAAGGACGCTATCATGGAAATTTTTTACTTCGTAGCGCTCGATTCCACCAGCATCGATTCTAAATTCGGTAAATCTATAAATTTCTCATTTTGCGCGCGCAAAAACATTTTGATCGCGGCGCGCGTTGCGCCGATTCAAGTTTTGATGGGACCGTTTTTAATTTTTTTTTGTGATTTTATAAGTGCAGTAATTAATTTAAATTAAAGAATAGACGTTTCATATTTTAAAATTGACGTCAGGATGACCATACAAACGCGACGGTGTAAAAATTTTGGGAAACAAACATATCAATTTTAGATGGAATACCACCTAAAACTATGCTAGCGCAGTTTGGAGAACTTCGACGCTCCACGCAACTTAGCATTCTTGCTTCGCATCGTCACCGTCAATCGTCAATCAATAGCGCAGCAAGCTATGTTAAATTTATTCAATGCAGCAAAATTTTAATCGAAAGCGAAGCCGATACAGTATACACTCAATCAACCATGAGTTTTCGCGTATATGATTAATTTTTCATACGTTGTATGAGTATACACTCAATCAACCATGAGTTTTCGCGTATATGATTAATTTTTCATACGTTGTATGACCCGCCGCGCACGAGTGCGCGGCTCCCCTGTATCGTAAGAACGATAGTGAAACTACCGTGGGGTCACAACGTGATACAATTATTAATTATTTCATGTTGCGCGCTTGTTTGCCACGCACCGAACAGTAAGCGTGCTATATAATTTACGCAACGGGTGATAGATACTCGTAAAATGCTTGTTTCAAATATTTGTCCATTGTTAATGGAGTAGCCCGGGCCATTTCGAAAAGTAAGTGGCAAGCGCTACTTCGAAGAAATTTAAACGATTAACATCCGTTGCAATCAAATATTAAACCGTCGACAAGTTTGTCATACGTTGTATGACCCGCCGCGCACGAAGTGCGCGGCTCTCCCTGTAGCGTCGAAGACTATAGTGAAGCGACCGTGGGGGTCACCACGTGATACAACGACAAGTCCATCTTGGCGCGCGCGTCTACAAAGACGCGCGCGCCAAGATGAACTTGTCGACGGTTTAATATTTGATTGCAACGGATGTTAATCGTAGGTCATAAACCTACAACGCGTTACTAGATGCAAAAAGGCTTTATGTATATATGCTATTGTTCCCCGTAGATAAGTAAAATAGAATTGTAATTTTTCAAGAATTTCATCTCCTATGCCTATTGAGTATATCATTTTTATTCAGTTGTTACTGGGCCGCGCTCAGCCTGTCATTCCGCCAAATCTATATTCGTATGTTAATGAACATAATAGCCTGGGGTTCTCAGGTAAATTCCTCAGGTAAATTCAGTTGATATAACATATAAACTCAATCAATACAAATGGGATCAAATTGTTATAGACTTACTGCACTTTATTTGAAGTGACAAAATATTAAGTCCAGACTGACTGCTCGATCTGATTTAACGGGTGATACTCGTAAAATATCTGTTCCATATATAATAGGACCGTCGACGAGTTCAACTCGGCGCGCGTCCTGGGCCTGGTAGGTTTCTAAACCTACAAAATCTGATCATAGATCCTCTACTGTTGACTGTGTACTGCACTTTAGCTGGAGTGCTACAGTGGCTAACCCACCAGTTTTTTCACTATACAAAATTAAGTGAACAACATGTACTCTACAAACTTTTACAAAAATTTCGAGCATGCTAAATCACTTTACAGTCTATCTTCGAGATTGTTCTAAAAGGGCCCCCTACATTTGAAACCAACTTCGATCGATGTATTTTCGGACGCTGATTCCGAATCACCCCCCCCCCCCCCCCCCCCCCCCATGACATAGGGTTAAAATGCTCCCTTGGCGAGATATTGGCAAAAAACTGTCTCGATCACGTGATATGACCGTATAAGGAAGTTAGTCTAATTTCTCGTTAGGGTTAGGGTTTCAGCATATGCTTTTGTTAAGGATTGGGTTAGGGTTAGGGTTGTGATCAGATTAGAGGGTCAGGGTTTTGAATAGTCGTTCAGGGCCAGCTAGAGAACGGGTTGAAGAATTCATGTGACAGTCGAGTGTAGAGTGATTAATCATCATCCCAAAAATTTAAGGGAATCTTAGTTTGAACTTTGACCCATATCTGTAAACTCTAAAATTTATGTGCAATTCTGACATGAATTATGAATTACGTGAGTTATTATAGGGTTGTGTGTAGGCATTTTTGGGTTATACAGGTTCCTGCTAGTATATATTAAATTATTAACCATTCATTCTGTATGTGCACGAAAATTTATTTCAATCAAAAAACAAAGGTCATACTTGCGCTCAGCGCTTACGTTCGAACGAGTAAAATAACAAGTTTTATATCGAGATATTTCCAAATGCCATTTCTTTTTTCAAGCACCAGATAATAATTTGTATGGCATCCACAACAGCTGCCTCTGGTATATCGTTTGAATACCTTGATTATTCTAGTGATCTAAAAAGACTTAATAATGATTAATAAAATACTGCGCTTTGTGGAACTTGAAACAAAGAAAAAATTACATTGGGGTTCGTTCACATATTACTTAATCACTTTTTGGACAGTTTTTAACCCTTGGACACCCCCCCCCCCCCCTCGGCTGATTATGTAAGCCTAATATGTGAACGACCCTCATAATTAATTTTAATCAGGTAGATATGGACGAGAATGAAGCAAATGATGAAAATGAGAAGACTGAAACTGAAGAGTGTCCTCATTCAGATGCTATACAGGAGCTGTTAGGCCGCACTGGTTATAAACTTGAAGTATTCCCGTCCAGCCGTGTTTACGGAGGTCCTCCACCAGACTTCACAGGAGATGAACCTAAGGAGGAGTGTCAGGTATTGATATTTTATATTTATATATTTTGTTTACTGTAAATTGTTCAATTCTTGAATCTGCTCTGGCAGACTTATGAAATATTCCTCTGTCACATTCCACTCCATTGCTGTCTTTTTGTGTTGAAAATTAATCACACAGCCAACTGATTTGTCATTCTAATTCTGTCTTATATAGGTCTTTATTGGTCGCCTGCCCCCTGAGATGAAGGAAGACGAAATTATCCCAGTTTTTGAGAAGATTGGTAAAATTTATGTCATGCGGTTGATAATGGAGAGACTTCCCTCTACAAATAGCCGGTATGTATTAAAGTCTCACTTAAATCAATTCATAGTTTATCTAAACTTTCTGTAGTTAATTTATATAACAGATTTTAAAGGTCAACAGATCATTCTTAGTGACTTGGCATCATCAAAACTTTACAAAATGACTATAGTGTTGTCACTTGGCACCTGAGGTCAAGTGACTGTTCTGTTCCTCTTAACGCCAATCAAATTAACAATACTATGATATTGATAATAATATATTCAGGGGATATGCCTTTCTGTGTTACCTGACACCAGAACACGCTGCTACAGCTATAACAGAACTAAATGGCCACGAGATCAGAGCAGGTGTTAACATAGCCGTGTCTAAATCTGAGGGCAACAAGAGGCTGTACATGGGAAACATACACAAAGAGAAAACACAGGAAGAGTTGCTGAATGAGTTGCAGATACTCTTCACAGGGGTCAAGAGTGTATTTGTTCAGCAAGATCTTAATGAACCTAGCCATAATCGAGGTTTGTGTCACGTTTTTGAGAGTTCATGTCTTGTCGTTGTTGATTTTATTGCTTTTATTGGGTTTCTATAGTAAACAATTATATCGAAGATTAACTAATAAGTTTACTTTCATAATTTTCAATGTTAATATTATTTTAGGGGTCGTTCATATATCACTGAGACCAGGGGGAGAGTGGGGTTGCTAAATCATTACGCTAGTGCAATTTTAACACAATAGCTAATATGTATAAAACTGATAACGGAGGGGGGAGTTTGGCCAAAAATAACGTAATATGTAAAGTGTGAACGACCCCTTATCGTGTTCTTTCAGCCCCCATAAAAGTTACAATTTAATACTATTATAACAATATTGTGCATATGAAATGTGCATAATCGTAACCTGTAACCGGACACCATCTTGCCCAATGTTGTTATGTCCGATGGCAACGACTCAAATTTCATGGTTATACAATGTAATGATCATAATAGTCAAGCATGGCTTTCAAGAATCCCTGATTATTTCTCTTGCTATTCAATTAAATTTTTGTGAAGTACAACCATAAATCCTGATGTTGTATGAAAATGAACAGGTCAACGATAAGAGTCCCCATATGGACGTCTTCAAGAAGATTCGAGGTCTAAAGAAAAGCATTTTCAGCAGCTTCTCTGAGTGTGGGGCGTAATTTGGTACAAAGAGTAGAATACACATCATAGGTATAATCTGAAATATTTAAGTCTAAAATTTCGCTGAGAAGAGAAGGGTACTAAAGTAAACATTACTCCTTTATCAAACTATCTGATGATATGCTCGTGAGATTTCAGAACACCTGCCCTCTACTACCCACTCTACTTAGCCAAATTTCAAGAGTTGTCATAGTAACCAAACTTTCATATTTGCGACCAGGTGATCCATAAAATTGCAAACACTTCCTCGTGATTCTTTAGAGGCAAGGGTTGGTTTGTGGGATTGTTGGTTGTTTGAAACTGTGGAGTTTATCAATGTTTGCACCTTTGCCTCCCCTCATTACTCTTCTGAGTTTTGCAATTGAAATGGATACTGGACATCGCGAATCACTGACAGAATTTAATTTTACTTTTATGATAATTGTCGAGTCGTTATCATAATATTTTTTCAAAGTAACCATGTTTTATAATCATAATTTCATTCAATTTCAGACATCACTGGATTATTTTACCAATCTCGATCTGATATCTGAAATAAATGACCCCTTATTTCACGTATAAAAGTTATAAAGCATGTCAAAGTTAAGTTTTAAAGTTAAGTTATAAGTTATAAAAAGCAGGTAAATGTTGTAAAAATATAACACTCCACTCGTACAGGGTATGCGTTTGTTGATTTTGCCGATCACAAGACAGCTGTAGACATAAGACGTCAGTGTGCAACCGACCGTAAGATTCTTTTTGGGAGACAAATTCGTAATGTGGACTGGGCTGATGTTCAACAAGGGTACAGTGAGCCGGATCCTGATTCGGTTAGTACCTACTGGGTAGCAATAGTTAGTACCTACTGGGTAGCAATAGTTAGTACCTACTGGGTAGCAATAGTTAGTACCTACTGGGTAGCAATAGTTAGTACCTACTGGGTAGCAATAGTTAGTACCTACTGGGTAGCAATAGTTAGTACCTACTGGGTAGCAATAGTTAGTACCTACTGGGTAGCAATAGTTAGTACCTACTGGGTAGCAGTAGTTAGTACCTACTGGGTAGCAATAGTTAGTACCTACTGGGTAGCAATAGTTAGTACCTACTGGGTAGCAATAGTTAGTACCTACTGGGTAGCAGTAGTTAGTACCTACTGGGTAGCAATAGTTAGTACCTACTGGGTAGCAATAGTTAGTACCTACTGGGTAGCAATAGTTAGTACCTACTGGGTAGCAATAGTCGCGTAATATCTTAACATGTTGTAGTGAAATTGTTATTACCTGGAGTAAAGTGGTTTACCTGTGCACTGTAATTTAGTACTACTGTACTAAAATGGTCATTATTAATAACACGTGTAAGTTATATTTTGATTATACCCAATATTTTCTGTACTAAATATAGTTGAGTGCTAGCGCCGGGGGTTTAACTTTGTTATGTGTGAATTTACTGCAGTTAATTAACCATAAAAGTGATGAATATTCTCACCAGGTCAAGTCTCTGCACATAGCCCCCGTAACAGATGAAACAACAGAGGAGATGATCAAAGAGAAGTTTGGAGAGTTTGGAACAGTGGAGAAGGTTCAGAAGATAAGGGACTACGCGTTTGTGCATCTTAGCACTAGGGAGGAGGCTGTGAAGGCGAAGGAGACCGCTGAAAAAACACTAAATGGAGCAGAGGTTATTTAACATCTGCTTAGTACTAGAGTTATTGATTTCAGTTGACTAAAGATATATCTGATTATATGCCCTGACATTGGATTAAGGCAAAATATTCATTTCCTCACGTCCTACTTTACCAGATTGAAATATCGTTTGCCAAGCCGAGACTTCCCGCCAAAAAGAGGAAATCACGTGGAGGTCGTGGTGGTTACCGAGGAGGTCGGGGAGGCGGTGGTTACTATCCCAACTTTGATTACTACGGGGACCCTACGTACGGTGGGGGTGATATGGACGGGTACGACTACGGGTACGATATGTACGGAGGAGGTGGTGGTGGTTACTATGACAACTACAGCGGGGCTGGTAGAGGCAGGTGCGTTATTGCTTGTCACCTGGGAGCTTGTGTCTTTCAGTCTGTTTGTCTGTTTGTATTTTCCTCGGCCTCATAACCGCCAATATTTAAGCTGGATTTACTTTTACTGATCAGATTTATGTTAAAAGATAATTAGGGTAAATAAATACTGAGCGCTAATTAATAGTAATTATAACTATAATTACTGTGATCAGGGGAGGAGGTTCAGGGGTGTGGATGACGAAAAGAAGGAAACCAAATGAGGAGAGAAAAGCGGAAGAGAAGTGGTTGGATCCTAACGTAGCGGACCAGGTGGGCGGTAACGCTGGAGGCAACTGGTGGTAGACAATATAAACTAGAATTAAGTAATTGATAAGTTAATTAATCAATATTATATGTGTGTGTACTGTGTTGGAGTTGTGAGCTTTCATTTTCCGTCATCAATGCTAAATTTATGTGCTTACGATTTTATTTATTTTATATTATTGACAGAATTTGGTCATATGAAAAGCAGCAATTAAAGATGCAAACTTAAAAATATTAAAATAAAAAGATAATCTTACACGAACAGCTGTGGTGTGAACAATTAATTATGCACATTTTTATTCATACTATTAGAGTTATATTTTATTAATCTATTGAAAGCAGTAATATGATCATGTTCATGGTTGAACTTAAAAGGTTGTACGAATGAATTATATTATTTTCAGATATTCTGAAATATCTGTATTTTTCCTGTTCAAATGCGAGTTGGCATAAATCTTTGTTTTCAAGTCAGAATGACTGATATATAATAATTAAATTTTCAGTGCAGCGTGCTGCGGCTTATTTTTATTTAAATCATGATACAATCAGAGTTTTACTGAATTTGTAAAATGTGAACTTGCTTTATCGTATCCTGCAAACAGTTTTCTTGTCAACAGTAAATTTAATTAAGTTCTAATTTTCCACCAGTTATAGATTATCAACAAGACGTAGTTTTATTAACTATAGAATACCATAGCCATGTCAGAGCCATATACTACCTCTGATGATGAACCTGAGGACAGCCTAGCTGGTAACCCTGGTAACGCTGGTAACGCTGGTAACGCTGGTAACACCAACAACTCCCCACCTGAACTAGTATACACAAAGGAAGGATTTGAAGATTTCCTCCAACAATCTGAGTTATCCGGAATATCACGTGACCGCCAGGACGAACTGATCTCCCTGTTCCTAGCTCAGGACATCCCTCTGGAGACCATTATCCTAGACACTATACAGAGAACAATAGAGCTGCTGAGGAGGAACAAGCTGAGAGTGGTGGTGTTGGTGGTGGTGTTGGGCTTGTTGGGGTTCGTGGTGGTGAACGAGTTCAGGGCCAGGAGGGGGTACCAGGATTATCAGCCCTGGCAGTTTGAGATGTCTGCCCTGCTGAGACACTGGCAGCTTAGTGTGAGTTGTTGCTTGAAGTTTCAATCTGTTGTTGGATAGGGTGTCGTTGGATAGGGTGTATTTTAAATTATAAGTTTAAAGATATAATTGACATAAGTATTTAATGACAAGTTTTTCAGTGTCTTGGTTGGTTTGATTGGAATGTGTTATTCAATCGAGAGTGTTACCTTGACAACCCTTACTACTTCTTCACTCACCCTAATGATGCTCCAGAGATTGATTGTGAGAACGCTGCCAGAGAACTTACATTTTCTTATGCTTCCTCTTACACTGGTAAGTTTAGTAAAATACACAGCTTCCTCTTACACTGGTAAGTTTTGTAAAATACACAGCTTCCTCTTACACTGGTGAGTTTTGTAAAATACACAGCTTCCTCTTACACTGGTAAGTTTAGTAAAATACACAGCTTCCTCTTACACTGGTAAGTTTTGTAAAATACACAGCTTCCTCTTACACTGGTGAGTTTTGTAAAATACACAGCTTCCTCTTACACTGGTAAGTTTTGTAAAATACACAGCTTCCTCTTACACTGGTAAGTTTTGTAAAATACACAGCTTCCTCTTACAATGGTAAGTTTTGTAAAATACACAGCATTCTTATGCTTCCTCTTACAATGGTAAGTTTTGTAAAATACATCATTGAGAACAGCTGCTACACAAGCATTTAAAATAACTTATTATCTATTGTTATCTTTTAACTTCTAAATCCCGGGTCACGTGATCATGGTATTTCTCAGGTATATTTAACAGTAAGAAGTTCCCTTTGCCTCTCGTTCTCAATGAAGCACAAGAGGGTTGGAGTATCAGGGCTAACTTCACACTGGACGACCTTCACAAGGTTAGTCACTACTTCTTACTAATCCTATAGGGGGGGAGGTTTTAACATAGTGTACTAATCCTATAGGGGGGGGGGGGGGGGGGCTTTAACTTAGTGTACTAATCCTATAGGGGCCGGGGGCTTTAACTTAGTGTACTAATCTTATAGGGAAAGGGGGGGGGGCTTTAACTTAGTGTACTAATATTATATGGAAGGGGGCAGGGGGAGCTTAAATTTAGTGTACTAATCCTGGGGGGGGGGGGGGGGGGTGGGGGCTTAAACCTAGTGTACTAATCCTATAGGGGCCGGGGGCTTATAAGAGGGGGGGGGGGGGGGGGGGCTTAAACGGATCCCAGCAGAATATTCTAACTGGTTATTTTCTAGAGAGTTAAAGGGGCGAAAAATAATAATTTTGTGAGACAAAATAAAACAAAGTTGTTGAATTGCCGGAAATTTTACCATCTTTATCTTAAAACTGTGTTTTATAATAAGAAAGGAGTAGGTTTGGTCGGAGTGGGAGGTTGAGTTGTTGGGACAGTAGTGGTAGTGGGTTGGGGTGGGGTGGTCGTCTCAGGTCGCAGCGTTGGTGGAGTGGTAGTTGGTTTCGGAGGTGTTGTTGTTGGTGCAGGAGGGGTAGTTGTAGGAGCTGGAGGTGTTGTTGTTGGTGCAGGAGGGGTCGTTGTAGGAGCTGGAGGTGTTGTTGTTGGTGCAGGGGGTGTAGTCGGTGGTAATGTTGGGGGAGCTGTTGTTGGTATAAAATCTTTGCAGATGTATCTCTGAGCTTTATATACTTTGTATCTGTACGAGTACTTGTTTCTAAGTCCGAGGTAGGCTAATAGGTCCACTACAGTTGCAGTGCAGACGAAATGAAGGCCTGATAATAGATTAATGTCAAACTGTGTGAAATGTGAATTCTTTATCTAGGAGATTTCATGGAAAATCTTTAAAGCGATGGAATGACCAATCTTTTATGTCTCCGATTGTTTAAAATCTAATACTTTAAATCTAGAAACTTACTTTCTCGGCGAAGAGTTCTGATGATTCTAGAAAGACTCCAACAGCACTGAAGTTTATCAGCAGGCTCAGTTGCACCTTCACACGCACAACCCTGGAGACTTCCCTCATCCTCCTCATAACCGAGTCCGAATGAGGAGACTCCAGACAAACACACCAGGAGTATCAGGCAAAACAGCTTCATCTCTAACAAATGCAATGAGAAGTAATGAAGATGTGGTTTGATGAGGAGAAGTGGCAAAGTTGTTACCTTTATAAGGAAGAAGGTTCCGGTTATGCTTCTCTAATTTGATAGTTGTTATGGAGGGCATTGTTTAAGAGTTTACTGATCTTGTTAGCGCATTTCCGGTTGGGAGCTCCTGGATATGCAGCACCAAACTAAATCTAGCGTTTGTATCTGTGGTATTTATCTCTAAAATACTAATAATGAACCAGGAACCTGTTTCAACACAATAAAATATATTTACTGTGCCCACTGTGAGTTTATGAGAGGTATCTATGATGTTCACACTTCACATGATGTAGCCATCTGTTTATTGGTATCATTCAACTGTGAAACAGAGATAGCTAGATAGGAGGTGTTTGTTCTTAGGAACTTCAATGAGTCGGTCAGTTCTGTGGCCTCTGAGGTGCACAAATTGAACAGTACAGGGAATTTGAGCCTTCTTTAATTTTAAATGACAATCAAAGACTTTAAGCTTACTCTTTCGGTCGTGAAAAATTGAATTATGTACACGGCAAAGTTAAATTAAATTATGTACTTGGCAAAGTATTTTGCTTCATCCATCCTAACACGTATCAAAATTTCGTAATCACAACCTTTTTTCTCCATTCCAGATATTATCAGTTAACCCGGATAAGAACTACCCGTGTGTGAACTACATGGGTGATGCTCAGGCCGGACCTGACTGTTCGCGTGACCCCCTCAGGGCTCTTATAGATGGGCAACTTGCCAAGGAAGATGGAACCCCCCTTCATCTCATCTTTATGTGAGTGTTTTATTGATATAATATTGAATAACGACTTGATTAAATATTACCTTCTCGATATTTAAACTAAATTTTAGTAAGACTTCTTTAGTTAGATCATTTTTATTTTTGACAATAAATAATTCAACATTTGACAATTATTGGTAATGTTATAATGTTATAATGTTATAATGTTATAATGTTATAATGTTATAATGTTATAATGTTTTCACATGTACTCACCGAACTGTTGCCAGGGACGGGTGCACAAGACCAAGTAACAAGATTCTGAGAGGTCTGACCAAGCGACCCATCTTCCTAGATCCCCACATTGAATCACTGCAAAGTGTAAAAGCCATTACCGCCAAGGGTATACCGAAGGGTACTTCAGCCAAAGTAACTGTAAGTCCACAAAGTTATTTATGACGGACCGCTATTTGAGATTTCGCTTCAAGAAAAACAACTATGTTGTGATTTTCGTAATTTCCCATTTCTCTCAGTGAAAATAAATTAAAGGTGAAAGTGAAAGTGAAAGTGAAAGTGAAAAAGATTACATTTTACTATTCTACATTACCCTTAGGTAAGACTGTACGATCAGGACGGACAGCGTGACCAAGAGTACGGTTTCACGTGGTTAGCACAAGTGATAGGCACTTCCACCATCACTGTCAGGGACCTGGACTGTCCTCAGAATAAACCTAATATCTACACCATGCAACCTGGTGATATCGGTTAGTCTTCTGTCATCAGAGCTGTACAGTGAAACCCTGATTTACCGCGCCCCGATTTACTGCAAACCCTGATTTACCGCGCCCCGATTTACTGCAAACCCTGATTTACTGCGGCCATTTCCTAGATTGAAATGAACATATTTATATGTTCATTTATAAATGTAAACAATCATCACAATCAAAACCCCGATTTACCGTGCCTTCTACCTTTCCCCAAACTCCGCGGTAAATCGAGGTTTTACTGTATTTGGTTATCTTAACGGGCAGATGACGAGATAAGAAGGTGTAAATGTGTTCTTATTCTCATGATCCCCTTCTTATTTACCTAGTTTTCTTGCAACATGTCAGCACTTCAGAGTTCAGTACAATTTTAATAGTTGAGAATATAGTTCACTTTGACATGTTGGTCGTCGCGTTGGTAGACCTCTTAATTACAATTTCTGTTTCAGTCTCTTAATCACAGTTTCTGTTGCAGTTTCTTAATCACAGTTTCTGTTTCAGTATCTATTGGACCCGAAGATTCTCTTGAGTTGGCGATACCAGGGCCAGAAGAGTCCTTCCTTCTCTACACTAACTTCAAAGTCAAACCGTAACTTTGTGTACAAGTTTGGTGTTCTCTTAATTAGTTAGAAAAGTTTACCATTAGTTTGATAATTTTAATTTAAACTCAATTCGTGTAATTTTCGGTTCTATCATAAATTATTTGCATTTGACCACAGTTTTTCGTTTGGTTTTGGGGCACCTGAACTACCTTCATATTAACATATTGAGACTACGTCCGCCCAAGTTATTGCTGCAGTACCTATCAAACATTTGTAAAATATGTATTTTGAAAATTTTAATTTTTAGTATGTTCAGTAATTTTAATTCAATTTTATTTTCTTATTTCCCAACGAAGATGAATTTTATTGACTACTCACAAAAACTGAATATTTCTGCAGTGAAAGTCCAGTGATCGACCGGGATCCCGGCCCCGGCCCCGGATACGGCCGGGATTTGTGCTTTTTCCCCGGCCCCGGCCCCGGCAAAACAATTTTCAAAATCCCGGCCCCGGCCAGAGGCCCCCAATCCCGGCCTCCGGCTTTTTGTCAATTTTGTGCCGGGATTTTGCCGGGATTTCTCGTATTTTCTGCCTCAATTGAAACCGATAGATTATCAGAATTTATCTTGATTTTTTGACTTAAATTAAACACAAAAATTTTCGTAACATGAGATCGAGTGAAAAATATAAATACATGGCGTGACATCATTCCAGTTGATATTCAGAAAATTTCAACTTTGAATTTACAAAGAATGTAAAATATTAATGTTGATTAAAAAGTTCGAGGTTGATTAAAAAGTTCGAGTAAAGTCATGTGTTCGTGTACCGTTTTCTTTCATATAAGTTAGTACAAACGTCAAACAATTTAGTTCAAGAGCAAAAAACAGTAGAGAGTGAGGCCGACTCAATGCCGATGATGATGATAGTCATCAGATCACAGATGACTACTCGTTTCCGGTGTCAGCTTCAGACTCAGAAAGGCTTTCTTGTAGCCGGACATAGATATTTCGGACACTGAAGCCTTCAGTGTCCGAAATATCTATGTCCGGCTACAAGAAAGCCTTTCTGAGTTACATTCAACTATTAAAGAGAAATAATCGTTCCTCATCCTTTAAATATTGTGTAGCTGCCTTCTAGGTTGACCTTGAAGCTAGCTCACATTGATACGAGTTTCCGAAAACTTTCAAAAATTTTCAAAATTAGACTAAAAAATCCCGGCCCCGGCATATTTTAGCCAATCCCGGCCCGGCCTTGGCAACATTTCAAAATCCCGGTTAATCCCGGCCCCGGCTGATTCAACTTTGTCCCGGCCCCGGCTAAATTTCGTCCCCGGTCGATCCCTGAGTGAAACTCAACAATTTATCAAAATACTTATTCTTTGTTTATCAGGAACTGTTCCAATTGTTGTCAAAATTCAAACTTGAAACATTTGAAAAGTTATTCAACAGTATTGCCGCCTTCGTCCTTTTCTTAAAGTTGTTAACATTCTAACGATAACAATGTTAACATTCTAACGATAACATAGTTAACATTCTAACATAGTTAACATTCTAACAATGTTGACATTCTAACAATACTCCCTCCCCCTAAGCTAGTCCCACACATGTTCCACACATGACCACATGACACAGTTGCAGGGGGGACACTACGATGAGGAGAGTAACTTGGTTATCTCCGGTGCCTCAACTGCTTTTGATGACCAAAGTGTCAGGAGGGGCTTTATCCGCAAGGTATATGCTATCCTTATAGCCATGTTAACGTTAACATTCACTGTTATCATAGCCTTCACCACAATACCTGTGTTGAGAACCTGGGGCCAGACCAGAGTGGCTCTGTTAGTGTTTGTAGTTCTGTGGTTATCAGCTATTGTCCTCATGATAGTTCTGATATGTAATGAGTCTCTGAGGAGATCTTACCCTCAGAACGCTATATTCCTGGTTGTAATGACTCTTATATTCTCATTCGCTCTGGGTATCACAGCTAGCTACTCTAAACCATTCATCGTCCTCGTCGCCATAGCAACTACTCTTGGCATCGTCATCGCACTCACCATATTCGCGTTCCAGACAAAGTACGACTTCACAATTCTAACAGGAATTCTGTTCTGTGTGAGCATCTCCCTCCTGGTATTTGTAATCTTGGTGGTGCTCCTCCACTCCAGAGTACTCTACCTAGTGTACGCTACCCTAGGAGCCTGTCTGATCAGTATATACATAGTGGTGGACACACAGATAATGATGTCAGGTAAAACAGTGCAGCTGGATCCGGAGGAGTATGTGTTTGCTGCACTCAACTTGTACGTGGATATCATAATGCTGTTCTCTTATGTGCTGGTGCTGTGTGGCGGGGGTAATCAGTGATTGGATATTGTAACTTGGTTAGAAGATATTATATTGTAACTTGGTTAGAAGATATTATATTGTAACTTGGTTAGAAGATATTATATTGTAACTTGGTTAGAAGATATTATATTGTAACTTGGAGAGTTGGAATTAACCCAAATATCAGGGACACGAATGACTACTCCAGGATTTAAGAAACTAAACTTTCAACACCGAAAACATTCAGATTCTTGCCAAATATATTTCGATTGTAGTCATCTCCAGTGACATTGAACCTAAAAAATGTTAAAAGGTTAGTGAAACTCAAGCCTTTACAAAATTAAGAATCCGAAAAAGGTAAAAAGATCATATTAAGGTTTATGGAATATAGGTAATCCAAAGGGATTGACAGTATTAAGGCCAAAAGGTCTAAGAGAATTAAGCAAATGTATGTAGTTATTTTCTTTTACTTCAAGTGCACTGGGACTGCAATTCTCTAAAATAAAAGTTCTAAAAGTTTCATTAAAATCTGTATGTACTCCTAAACCGTGGTCAATCAAGTGAACTCCTAGGCTATACTCATCACTAGTAATATCAAATGCTCTACCATCAACGATTTCATAAAATTTGGACCTGTGTCCGTCCGCGTCCATCCTTTTATGCAAGCTATTAATAGTCCTACCCACATAGTTTTTCTTACAAATCGAACACTGTACAAGGTAGATGATGTTATAGGTCTTGCAACAACCAGGGGCTGATTTGATCTTTTTGCCATTTGATGTGATGGAGTCCTTACTCATGATCATTTTACAACACTTGCAGTTTCTTCTGTGACAGGGTTCAGTTTTACCATGTTTAGCACCTAAGGCAAGCTGTTTAGATGTAACGAGGCGAGATCTGAGCGTAGATCCCGTTTTCTTCACAAACTGAAACAGTTTATTTTTTCCTTTCGGTGCTGTGGTGGAGTTTGTGGCTTGCTGACTCTCACTTTCACTAAAACTACGAGTTCGTCTCAAGTGACCTTCGTATTTCTGGACAACATTCACCAAGTCATTGTCACTTCCATAACTGGAGATGACTCTGATTGGTATGGCTGATAGCGGGGATTGTTCATTAGGCTCGACCGTACTCTTCCTGACTAACACTCTTTCCATGCCAAGGACTTGGTTATAAGATATTGTATTGTAACTTGGTTATAAGATATTATATTGTAACTTGGTTATAAGATATTATATTGTAACTTGGTTATAAGATATTATATTGTAACTTGGTTATAAGATATTATATTGTAACTTGGTTATAAGATATTATATTGTAACTTGGTTATAAGATATTATATTCTAACTTGGTTATAAGATATTATATGTAACTTGGTTATAAGATATTATATTGTAACTTGGTTATAAGATATTATATTGTAACTTGGTTATAAGATATTATATTGTAACTTGGTTATAAGATATTATATTGTAACTTGGTTATAAGATATTATATTGTAACTTGGTTATAAGATATTATATTGTAACTTGGTTATAAGATATTATATTGTAACTTGGTTATAAGATAATATATTGTAACTTGGTTATAAGATATTATATGTAACTTGGTTATGAGTATTGCTGAAAGCACAGTGTAAGGCCTACACGGACCGCCTCTAACTAGCCAATCCCTGTTTACATGCCGTGTAGCAGGGGACTAGAAAGAGCTAAACTAGTAAGCGGGGCATAGCCAATACACTATACTTCCATCATTGAGTATATTACCAACCAAAGGAAAAATTTCCTTGTGTTTGGAATCTACCAAGACGAAAGTTGTACAATCCAGCGAAATTCCGAAGAATCATTATAAGATATTATATCGTAACTTGGTTATAAGATATTATATTGTAACTTGGTTATAAGATATTATATTGTAACTTGGTTATAAGATATTATATGTAACTTGGTTATAAGATATTATATTGTAACTTGGTTATAAGATATTATATTGTAACTTGGTTATAAGATATTATATTGTAACTTGGTTAGAAGATATTATATTGTAACATGGTTATAAGATATTATATTGTAACTTGGTTATAAGATATTATATTGTAACTTGGTTAGAAGATATTATATTGTAACTTGGTTAGAAGATATTATATTGTAACTTGATCATGTACTTAAAGATATATTGTAAATTGTTGCATTTTGACTTGTAACTTGATAATAGAATATTGTACAAGATAGGGTATTATAAACGATTATAAACGATTGGTTTAATTATAACTTGATTACATAATTATGGCTATATTATGACTATATGGATTATAACTTGATTATGAGACATGATATTATAAACGCTCGGGAAGTAGCAATGGTTCACTTTGACAAGAGTGCTCGCTATAATTTGATAGGATATAATACTACTTAAATATCAGATTAAATCGGCAACTGAGAGTTTAGGATTGTTCAACATTCGTCTAGGTCACTTACGCAGGTCGGATTTTTATTTGTTCAGGATTTGTAATAATACCTTATTTGAGTTTAATTCAGTGGTAATTCATAATGCTTTAATCTTAATCAAATGTGTGTGATCATGTTTAGTTCTCATGTTTTGTTTGCATTAATTTCAGAATTTATTCGTAACTTGTATTATGTATTTCGTTTTTATTATGTTCATAGTTTATGGGATTTTTATGCATCATGTATTTGTTGGGGTTCACATTGATAATTGAATTGTATTTCATTAAATATATTGTAATATTCATTGAGGGTTTCCATTTTAAATTGCAAATGTTTTATTTTTAAAACCTCCGTATTACACAAGACTTAGAACTACTGGCACCTGTTTAAGTTAACTTGGTTCCATATAATATCTTAAACGTGTATATTATACACTTATACACTTATACACTGTATAAGTGTCATCTGTTCGGTCGTATAGACTACGGAACCTTAAATTTGCTAGGACTAGGAGAACTTAAACATTTAATTACATCACAAGACTTATTAACAGTAATTTTACTTACAATTGTCTCTAATTACAGTACATTACAGGAATGGCACTACTCGATGATTTTGATCTCCTTCAAAGACATATAAAGAATGTATTTGTAACGAATGATACGAGTCTTGTTTCTGAAATGGTAACTATGACAACGCACTTACTTAAATGTTTATCTTATCTGGATTTTGTGTAAAAGAGTGCAAATATAAATATAAGAATACAGAATAGTATGGGTACATCGCACTTCTAGCCATGAAAAGCCATACAAAATTACCTAGAGGTTTTTAGTGCGTCGACTGGCGTTTGTTGATGGATGGAAAAGGAATTTTCACCAACATGTTTGAAAAATGCAACTGTCTACAAGTCTTCATGTTCCGAATGTGCAATTAACTACAGTTTGACACTCTAATATTTTTAAAGCACTTGGCACAGTGCCAAGTTGGCACCCTAGCACAATATGTGCATGAGGCACGGTGTCGGACTATGTGCTATGCGCTGCCTTGTACCTTTTATCAAATAGTAGTACTAGCAGTAGTAGTATAATTCCACTGGAATCTCTCCCAAGACTCAGGTACGATGTAATAACATAATAACACGGTTACACACTAAATAACATCCTTGACAGGTGTTGGACACACAGACAGAGGACACACTCTCTAACCGGAAATGGACGAGGAGACTCAGCTCAATACGGTCCTCTGAAAGGTTTCAGAACCCGCAGCCGTTTGGCAGTTACGATATGTTCGTAGCTAATGAAGACGTGCGCACACAGAAACACGTAAGCTACATCACGCTTCATTATGTTCTGGAAACTTTGTTAATATGATCAGTATGTATGCATGAAATACGGGGAAACAATTAACTTCTCTATTTAAGCAATCTAGTTAATGTTCTTTCCTACTATTTCAGAGGGCAGTGGCTCGCAACACTTCCAACGTGAGTCAGACGCAGGTAGTTTCTCTAGACACCAGTAAAGTTAGCAAGAATATTGACGCGGATACGGTCTTCAAACCCGTACCCTTCAACAGTGCACCTTCCACCAAGGGGCGCTCTTCTTCCTTTTCTCTTCTCATGGCTAAAACTAAAAACGTTAAAAATCCGTTTGTAAAGTACGTTAAGTTCGACGCTCAAAAATCTTCACACACAATTAAACTGAGAGTGACTCTAACCATGGCTAAGAACCCTGAGGACACTATTGATATGAATGTGATATCAGCGGCCACAGTAGATGAAGCTATAGGTCTGATCCTCTTTCAGTATTGTACCGAGGGGAGGCAACCTCAGTTGGGGGGCACTGTTGATGATTACTGTTTGAGGCATCTTCAGACAGATGATGATGACGATGACGATATTCTGATGTTCCAACCGTTAGCATCACGTGACCTTATAAAGAAGTATTACTCTTATCATTTTGGGTATGGAGCGCTTGAGTTGGCCCTTTATAAGGAGGATAAGGACGAGAAGATCATTGTGAAGATACATTTCGATGATAAGACTCACACCACCTTCCATTTCCGGAACACGAAAGTGAAAATGAAGGATATTTTTACACGTGCTGTGAAGAAAAGAACTCAGTTCAGGGCAACTTCAGGGGTGTATAACGAGCAGAGCAGCCAACGAGACGAGAAAAACTTAGCTCGAATGAGCGGGAAATATGTTCTAGAAAAACTTACCTCTCCGGGGGATTCTGTGAAATTAGAGGGTTTCCTGGAGGACATGAACACGTTAGAATTCAGGCTGGTGAGGACTCATTCCAAGAGAACTAGTCAGGTAGAGATGGAGGCTGACACGGTGATGGGGTACAGTCGCTTTGAGTCCCTTAACTACGAGGTGTTTGTGGTTCAGATCGAGGCAAGGGTTATTAAAAAGAAAATTGATGTTCAGTTGGGTATTTCAGGGGATAAGATCGAGATTGACCCGCTTACAAAATCACCTCTGCCGCCTTTTAAGCTGAAAGCAGAGAGCATTCCTTGCAAAAATTTGATCTCTTCTGAGATTTTGGTTGACAGATTCAGCGGTGACCGATTGAAACTTAAACTAATTTACCTGAACGATAATCAAGACCCGAAAGATTACATTTTCGAAGCCCCCTCAAAGGGTGACCACATTCACCGCAAGATAACTTTCATCATAAATCAGCTGCAAAGCAAAATAAGACAGAACTATTTCTTGTACAGGAAGTATAACACACAGTCTAGCAGTAGTGCTAGTAAGTTAAGTTCGTTCTTGTCGGCGCCGTTTGGTACGCCTCGATGAGACTCCACGATTTTAAGTTCTTTGATTTGATTTTAGCAGTTTTATTTAATTTTTGCTTGGTGTGACGTTGTTTCGAGAAGGGTTTTCTCCTTATTTTAGTTGGCTGGTCTGTGACCAATGAAATTGAGTCAGAGGTTCATAACAATAAGTTTTTATACCTTTTCCACGTCCATTCAATAGTTACATTGTTTTATGTTCATAACATGATTCAATGAACTATAAAGCTATAAGGCTGCCTTGATTCCATTACATATAAATTAGAGCATTCCTGTTGTTTACTTACAACTGTTTTCCCTCTGTATTTTCTTTAAATCTAAGTTCTTAAAGTCAATTGAACGAAAACTTGCAATTGATAACGTGCTTGTGATGGTAATGCCATTGATCACATTATTTTGTCGACAAATTCGAATCAAGTGAATAATGTAATCTGAGATAATAATGAAACCTCTAATTGCGGACCAGCTTTAGTTTGGTCCGATTTTCGGTGTTTCTGTTAAATTCAATAGATACAATGAAAATGAATTTAGTGGTTTGTGTATGTGAATAGATAATTCAACAATGCTGCAATTTCAGATTTAATGCTGTCGACATAAGTTTGTTCATTAGTCGCCAATTATTATTTTACCGTTTACGAGGCATAGGTATATGACATAGCTTTTGAAAAGTTTATAAACTCGATTCTTATGATAATTTGGATGGTTTTTAGGCTGTGATTCTAATTAATTGAAAATAGGTCGAGGAGCTTTAATTAAAAACTTTTAAAAATTGATTAAGGAATTTTCTTGTAAAGCTAGATTCAATGCTAAGGACATGATTTATTGACTAATAAAAATATGGTAAAAGCTTATTTTATAAAGGAGCATATGTAAAAAGCTGGCCTCATAGTAAGATTGTGTTGTACTGAAGTTTGTCTGTCATCTCGGAACTGATTCAGTGGTCCACTGTGTTTTATGTATTTTGTGCGCTAATTTGATTCTGGGCTGGCAATATTCTGATTTTTGCAGTTTGATTCTTTATATTTGTTGTTTTGATACAAGATTGTGATGCGTTGACAATGCCATTTAGTTTTTGATTTTCTGTATATTTTTTAATTGATCTTGTTTGATATTAAGTTTACTACTGAGTTTTCGTTCTAAATTCACGGACCAAAATTGATTTTTGAATCTTCCAAAAATCTCCAAAAATTAGATATTTTCGTAAGATCTGACAGTTCCCAAACTTTCTCGTAAGATGTTTTTGTAAGATCTGACAGTAACTACGCAGAAGTCAGTCAAGACGGAGTGACATGTATAACAGTGACTCTGACTTAAGAAAACCAGACGATTATGGCGACATTGCCGCTAATTATTATGGAACAGCTCCTGCAGATAATTTGCGAAATGGGAGTAAAAGTTCCGTCTCCAAATTCAGTTTTATGACAAAACGGGAACGTATTCCTGGTTTGGATGGTGCAATGTTTCTCCCAGCTGAGTCTAGAAGTGTTGGAATGTTTCAACTCCAGCCTCGAGTAACAAACCATTACAAAGAAGACATTGATAATGTCCCTGATGACGTGCTTTACAGCACAGAGCAGGAGAATGTCCAAAAAGACTCTAACAAATCACATTCATTGAACGATGATTACTTTGATGAGATAGATAGGGAGTACAAACTGAGGGCTGCAGGGAAGTCTCCTTTTAAACAACAAGACACATTCAATTCAAAATTTCAAGAAAATCATTCGCCCACTGCAGAAAAGCAAAAAGTGGCAGTTAATTTTAAAAAAGAAAACCGTCCTTCTATCCCCTTATCTGTGGAGTACGACCCATACGTTGATATTGATCTTATGACATATCCACCAGTTTATGCCAAACTGCTTAAAGAGGGATGCATGGAGGATGTGGCTGAACAATTTCTTGGGCTTGTTCAAGATGGCATTTTGGGTAATGTTGAATGGGATTCAGAACACGGCGAAAATTTGTTAAAGAGTGTCAGCAGAAAGTCTCAGCGCGAAGAAGATCCAAACCTAAAAGAGTTTTTCGACGAATTTAGGAGTGTGGAAATAAATCAGTCAGCTGATAAGTTTCATCTCTTCAAAAAGATGTGTCAGTTACCATGAATAGGCGCTTCAATTTTTTTTCCATTATATACATTGAATATAATAATGCTGACTGCAACTTATTTTTACACTGTTAAGATAAGAGGACAGAAATAAAATACGATTCTAAGATTTTTAAATTATGAGAAAATTGTTCCTGTGAATACTCCGGACTAACTTGCAAAACAGTCAGCAGGTTTTGTAAGGGGTATAAGAACTACCGTGAGGACAAAGTAGTCCCCTTGGAATTACAAGATCAGATGCGGCTTGACAGTTTTTATCAAAGTAATCTGGCTAAAGGTTATAAAGTGTTCGTCAAATCGGGCTGCAGAAGATACTTTAAGCTAGGAGATGAAGAAGAAGATTATCATAATGAGAGCCACCAGGTAACTGGTGAACGGAAACTATTATTATTTTACTTGACATTCTATCATCATTTTATTTAGCCCTAAGTATTTAATTTTAGGGCTGTTTGCTCAGTCCATCTTTCAAAGCATATCATAATTATTTTGCCATTTTTTGTTTCTTTTTTATTAGCTTCTTTAATAATCCATAATCTTAATCATCTCTATGCTTCAGTTGTTTATCGGAAGAATCCCCAAAAACTGTTATGAGGATGAACTAGTCAAGCATTTCTGTAGCATAGGAACGATAAAAAGTATCGTTCTTATGATGGATTCTCAGTCAAATCTAAATCGGTTCGTTAAAAATCACTAAAATCGTTTCATTTCTTACAATCGTATTTATCGTGCAATGATTATAAATTAATAATAACTTAATGATTAATTTTATAGAGAATAGTTTGCTTCCAGAAGATTGACACAGGTATTATCCCTCAGCGGTTTTGGATTTTTGAACTACGAAAACCGTTCATTAACAGAAGCAGCAGTAAAAGCTTACGACCAGAGTTACATTAGACTTAACAAGCGCATCGGGTTATCAAGAGGACTTAGCCACAATCGCTTGTTCTTCGGGGGGCTCCCTCGACATTTAACTGAAGTAAGAAAAAATGAATTTAATCTTCTTAATGATATCATTCAATTAATATTTTAATAACTGGTTGGGTATATCTTATTTGATCGTTAAGTTGAATCTTGAATTGTGTATAATGTTCTTTGAAACCTGTTGAAAGAAACTACACACAACATATTAATTAGTTGAAAAATGAGATGTTTTGGTGATATCTTTGGGTTGGATCACAGTGTAAGGTTAGTAATATATCTAAAGAGTTGTTTTGTGAGATGGTGTGAGTTTGAGTTGAATGAGCACACTTTGCTGTGCTATTACCACTATTTATTATACTACCTTTTATGGATTTATTTAGTGAAAATAATGTTAAAGTTTCTGAATAATGCCTATTTTTCTTGTCGGCCACTTGACATTCCAAAATAAACCACTACTTTCCATTAACTGAACAATCAACCTCTCCGTCTATCTTAGAAGTTCCAATTTACATGTTCAATAAAAGATAACCCTAACACAAGCTACTAGAACATGAGCACACACTTGGAGATCAGTGGAACAAGACTAAAGATTTGCAGTTACAAAACGTTATACACAGTTCATTGTATTTATAAGACAAAACAGAACAAGATGGAATGTTGAATCTAAAACAGATTACCATAAAGATAATTAGTTAAATAAATAATTAAACTATTAATCATCGCTCACCTGATGTGATGATCCAATTCTGATTTCTCCTTGCGTACTTGCTAGCCTTCTGTAGGGAAATGTTAATCAACAACTATGATCTGTGAAAATTGAGAACTTGACAAAAAATAATGACAGGAAATCTACCATATTCATTAATAAAATAAGATACAGGATTGTTGGCAACCGTAAGGAATTTTTGGGTTAAAAAATCTTGTTATCACTTCAATACAAAATTCCAACTATCTTGAATAAATTTCTAACGTTCAGGAATTTTGATTGGAAAATTTTGATTGATCATGCACACCTCATATCATAGAAGATATCAGATGTCGTATTTCCAAAAAAATAAGTCTGTACGCGGGAGAACGAATACAAAGAAAAGAAATCAAATATACAGGACTGAGGACGTACGCACCCAAAATAAATTCACGCACTCTTATAGTCGAACCTTACAAGATGTAGCTCAATTGTTTCACCGGTTTCGAGCCCCTTGCTATAGAGACTAAATATCGGGGGACAAATCTTAATATTTATAGCGGTCATCCTTCAAAGGCATCTAATAAATAGCTGAATATATAGTAAATTGAAGAGCAATCCCTCGTAGGATGAATATATAATATAAATAGTTCGGCGTAATAGTTGGGTTATCGAAGATGAGCGTTCTGAAAGCTTTTACGAAATGAGAAAAAGTTGTATAAACACACACCTTGACTGTTCTCTCAACAGTTCTTCTAAATTCTATCTCTCTCTCTCTCTCTCTCTCTCTCTCTCTCTCTCTCTCTCTCTCTCTCTCTCTCTCTCTCTCTCTCTCTCTCTCTCTCTCTCTCTCTCTCTCTCTCTCTCTCTCTCTCTCTCTCTCTCTCTCTCTCTCTCTCTCTCTTTATAATTTGTGTATAATAAATGGAGAGGTGAGTCATACATTAATTTCTATCTAACAGCTCGAACGTTACATCAATTACTTTCAGGATGATCTGCTGAAGGACTTCCAATCAGTTTTCTCGGGTGTAACCAGTGTAATTCTTAATAAAGATTACAATGACAGGTCAAAGAACCGAGGTAAGCGGCTTCTAGTTTCTTGTTCTTTAAGTGGAAAATACCGGCTGGTCTACGATGAAATCTTGTCAAAATTGAACTGAAATTGTAATCGTATCCAGGACCCCCCCCCCCCCCCCCAGAACCCTCATATTATTGAACTGAAATTGTAATCGTATCCAGGACCCCCAGAACCCCCTTATTATTGAACTGAAATTGTAATCGTATCCAGAACCCGGCCCCCCAGACCCCTAAGAATAACCTTTGTTAGGGTTTGTGTTTGTGGACTTCAAGAGTTCGCTGCTAGCTAGAGAAGCTATGCAGAAAGCTAAAAGTGGCCGCTGCAAGATTGCTGGTACGACCATTACAAATGCTGAGTGGGCCAGAGTTATGGACAAACCTGCGGAAAATAATGATGTGGTTATCAATACTGAGGTATTATCCTTGCACCACACTATAATAGGGGGGGGGGGGTAATGTTCCTAAAGTCTCAATATTCTTATTAACAGAGATAATCTAGGGATTTTATTTATTTCGTCAATTTCATATGTTGGATGTTTCGTTGATATTTCAAACATTAACGTGTTACTTCCTTGTTTTACACCGTCCACAGCTTACATAGTTGGTTTTCATCTCATTCTGAGGGCCCTGTAGAACTTTATTACGATTGTATTGTGTTTAGTTTCAATGAAAGGGCTTGATTTTCAGTGTAAAAGAGTTTTCATACGAGGATTAACTACTGCTGTCACCGAGGAGGCGATATACTTCAGCCTCATATGGGTAAGGGTTTAGAAATGTAACACGTCAGTTCACATTACTCAATTTAAATCTTCATATTTAAGTTCCAGAGACTTAAGGGGGCCGGGGGGGGCCGGGGGGGGGGGTCTTCATCAAAATTCTCTCGAAATCGACTTTATAGTTGTTTCTGATACTGATATCTGGATATTATCCGGTTGGAAGAGACAAGGACAAGTGAAACAAGGAAGTTAGGAGTAAGGGCAAATTTTCGGCGTCAACGCCATCTTCAGGCTAAAATTGTTATAAATGTTAGTATATAATAAATGCTTCTATACTAGTTAAAATGCTAAATTAAAATTACACACACTGAATACAGGTTACATCAAATGGTATTGTACATTGTACACTGAATACAGGTTACATCAAATGGTATTGTACATATGTTCGAGAGAAGATCGATTTACACTGATTTACACGTCTCATTCTACCGGAGATACGTGGATGATACCGGGAGTCTAGCCAGCTCCAAAGAAGAAGCTCTGAGGATAGTGGAGTCCATCTCAAACGAGGACCCAGACCAGTTGCTCAAATGGGAAATTGACTATCCGGAAAGCCGTCAGGATTTCACCCCATTCCTCGACACCCAGATAAAGATCGACGAACAGGGAACACTACACCACAAATTCTACAGAAAGAAGCAGAAAAAGAATATCACACTGCACGCCAACAGCCACCACAATGAGGGAACTAAAGTAGCCACAATCAAGAACTTCTACAAAACGGCTGCTTTTTGCTCATCAACGCCAGAGTATAAAGAAGAGTCCATGAAGATAGTAGACAACTTGTTGGTCAACAACGGTTACCAAGACCCACGACGTATAAACAAAACAGGACGACTTCACCCTCTCTCACCTACAACACGTCATAACCCTTCATCATCAAACATACAAGATACCGACCACGTAACATGCACTCTACCATTCATCAACGAGCCATTTTCCAAAGAAGTCACTCAATTTGCCCTCTCACACAACTTACCGGTCAAATTCATATTCACACCAGGTAAGAAACTCTCAGAGATCTTATGTTCATCACGACCACACGACAAACCACACTGCACCATACCAAACTGTATCATATGTCCACTCATCACAACAAATCACGACTGCAAACCAAAATGTGTCATATACAAAGTTACGTGTAAATTATGTCAAGAGCTATATATAGGGGAAACGAGTAGAACAGCACACGATAGATTTTCAGAGCATCGAAGAGCAGTCAACAGGCCTTTAACCTATCCTGATAATGCGTTGGCTGCTCATTATTCAGAGTTTCACGATAACATAGAACCAGATATTTCCTTCGATATTTTAGAAATTAACTTATATAGCACCATTAAACGTAAAGTGACAGAAGCTTACTACATTAATTTATTTAAACCTAGTATCAATAACAAAGAAGAGTGCGAGAAGCTTAAGGGATTTCTTTTACAACATATTCAAAGACAAATTTAAACAAATAGCACACGACCCTGCTGTTCAGTAGATATTATGTACTTGGACAGAGTGTAAAACGTGTGTACATCACTATTTTCAATGTAATGTACAATACCATTTGATGTAACCTGTATTCAGTGTACAATGTACAATACCATTTGATGTAACCTGTATTCAGTGTGTGTAATTTTAATTTAGCATTTTAACTAGTATAGAAGCATTTATTATATACTAACATTTATAACAATTTTAGCCTGAAGATGGCGTTGACGCCGAAAATTTGCCCTTACTCCTAACTTCCTTGTTTCACTTGTCCTTGTCTCTTCCAACCGGATAATATCCAGATATCAGTATTTCAATCATGAAACTAATAAACAGCGAACTACTCCGTTATTTGTTGTTTCTGATAGAGGGGAGTGATATCTATCAGCTGTTTTTAGTCCCATGGAAAAATATTGTTCCTAGCCGAAATTATCGCCGTTCAAAGGTCAACGCTTATGTGTAATTGTATTGCGCGAGCGAATTTCAATCGCGCGTTCTAAAAATCGAGTCTAAAAATCTATCTTCTCCTACATTTTTTGAGCAATCACCCTCAAACTTTCAGGATATGTTTTTAGGATCAGTTAGAAGAGAACTCTAGAGCCAGAATTTTGAGATAGGCCTTTAAAGATTTTTAATTCGATTTTGAATATCTTGGACCTCTAAAAATCAAGGTCCAATATTTTCAATTACACATAAGCGCTGACCTTTGAACGGCGATAATTTCGGCTAGGAACAATATTTTTCCATGGGACTAAAAACAGCTGATAGATATCACTCCCCTCTATCAGAAACTACTATAAAGTCGATTTCGAGATAATTTTGATGAAGACCCCCCCCCCCCCCGGCCCCCTTAAAGTTGGCATATTTCCAGCACGGGGAGATGGATGAAGTACGTAAGCAGGGTGACTACGCTTTTGTGACCTTCAAGACCCACGAAGGAGCACTTAGCACTGTCAGTAAACCTCCTGCTGCTATTTCAGGTGCAGAGGTGAGAAGTCGGAATTAGTTCTTCTCTTTTATAATCACTTTACTGTGGAAATTGTTATTTTAGAATAATGATATTATCTAGATGTAAAGACTGATAATTCTCACATAAAATGTTCACTAAACAGTTTGAATATTTAATCAGATAACCATAAAGTGGGCTACCCCCTCTAAGAGGAGATATAACGATTATACGCTACAGAAAAACAAAGGAGTGTCGTCTATGTGGGCTCCTCCTGCAGAATCAACTGGAAATACTGAGTGAGTTCTGTATCTAAACATTTGACTTATCTCTAAATATAATGCAAGTCAGGGATGTAGAAACCGGTAACATTAGAGTAATTTTAATTCTGAGCGCCCGTCACGTAATACTTATCCAATAGTAATAGGCTCCACTGCCAAATCACCTAATTATGTGCAAAACAGTAATTAGGGGAGCTGTAAATGGGGAGAGAGTGAGAGAGAGTGAGAGAGAGTGTGCGAGAAAAAGTGAGACACTTTAGTATTACATTTGGGGTACAAAACCATCAATTAAACCACTTACCACCGGCCAATTAAAAAATTTGCTTATTGGCTTCGTCAGAGTTTTGTCGAAACTATACCTAAAAACCAGTCCCATAACTCGTACAGACCCACAGATTTATTGGGATTAGTATAGATTACTACTACTTAAATACAATAATTGTGGTCAAGGAGGCTGGAGGGTCCTGAATGGGTTTATTTTGCAGTTACACTCACCTGCTCCAAGTTATTGTGGCAAAGTTCTGAAAAATAGCTTACAATAGTCGGAACGCGCGAGGACATTTTTACGATGAAATGCTGTACTGTTTCATCGGAAACTAGCAATGAGAGCGCGCTAATATTTAATTCCCTAATCTGCAAGTTAGCTACTATCTTGTATATATTTACGTTCTATGAATTCCACTATTTCTGCAGAGCTGCAGGCATTTAATTTTGTTTAACTTCAGGTCCAATGAACGATGGGTGTGGAGTACAGGGAAGGAAAAGCCAAGAAAGGAAAAGTCTCACAAACGCAGGATTTCTGATCGAAGTGAAAAACACGATTCCAACTCGAACCTTACATATAATAATATAAAGAACGTGGCGGTGGAAGCTTACACCAACAACTCTTATAAAGCCCAACTAGAGACAAATTTCCACAAACAAATAAAAAGTAAATTTGACATGGGCTTGGCTCAGTCTAAACGACTGAAGCAGAGAGCAGACATTTTGGATTTCTTTGGAATGGATGATGATAAGATTCCTGTTGCTACCTTCAGTGGCTCTTACTAATTCGCTCGCCCAAAAATTTAACGTGACTTCGGTTTTTATGGTTTTGCAGCCGTACAAAACGGTTTTACATAAACCCTAATCCCAACCCTAACCATAACCCCGAAGCTAACCATAACCCTTACCACAACCCTAACCCTAACCCGAGTCCTAAACAATCGAATTCGTGTTTTACTAGCCTGTCACGTGACCAAAACGGTTTTTTGCCGATATTTCTCCAGGGAAGCATTTTAACCTTACGTCATGGGGGTGATTCGGAATCAGCGTCCATAAATACACCGATTTAGATCACTTTCATGCCCAAAGGGCCTTTTCACAAGAAATTTCTTAAAATTTGGGCGAGCGATTTAGTAGGAGCGACCTTCAGTAGCCAGCCTCCATGCACCAGTTTAGAAATGAGACAACTTTAACGAGACCAGGCCAGAACCATTCCTGTACAAATCTGGATCATACATATAACGATAAAATACCAGACATTTTATGAGTATATTAATTAGCTGTGTTGTGATATTGTCATATTATGCATAAGAATATCATGCCGTCGATGTGATCTGTGATCACTAAAATGAGAACTTTTTATGGATTTACTAAAATTTTGTATTGTCAATTGTATTATTATATTAATTTAGAGGATTCTTGGATTACGGAGTAAACCATTTCCCTGTTGTTGTGTATTTTCAATCCAAATCAATTTCAAATATTATCACGATTTTTTAGTGTACTTTCTGTTGTCAGAATTTTCAGAATGTAGACTATTACGTTGTGTTTTGGTTTTAATATATAGAAAACATTTTCATTTCATAGTTGGGTTGTTAACTTTTTCAAACAAATCGCTCTATTCTTTGTCACCACAGTTCCTTAACTGTCAATTACTGCTAATTTTTGGAGCGCCCTCTTATGAGAACTACCTTTTTTGAGACCAGTTTTCGACAAATTGTGTAAGGGCAAATTGTATAAGGACTTAGGACGCCAACCGTGGTGTCTGTCATTGCTGGCGCCCCCTCCTCTTGCCTGGGTTTGTCCGAATTTCCAAAACCGCCCCTTCCCTCCCTCCCTATACACCGGACGTCCTGAGTAGATGGCCTCCTCCCCTCCCTCCCTATACGCCGGACGCCCTGGGTAGATGGCCTCCTCCCCTCCCTCCCTATACGCCGGACGTCCTGAGTAGATGGCCTCCTCCCCTCCCTCCCTATACGCCGGACGTCCTGGGTAGATGGACCCCTCCCCTCCCTCCCTATACGCCGGACGTCATAATGCAATGGCCCCTAATCAGGTAATGCCTCCTCACACCTAACAGCTCCCTTGTCCTGTTTTAACGTTAATCTTCTCATTCCTGACCTAAAATTAAAAGTAAGGCATCTAAGATATGTCAATCTTGAAACATTTACAATTGGTTTGTTTATTATTCAAAGATAATGGAAATCAGGGGTCGTTCACATATTACGTAATCAATATTTTAGCAATTTTTACCCCCTCCGTTATCAACCGTAATCAAGACCCACCCCCCACCCCTCCTGACAGCAAAATTACGTAATCATGGCCTGACCCCCCCCCCCCCCCCACTTTTTGACTTTTTCCCCTGGAAAACACTTTTCTCTACGTTTCATGCTACCCTGATCATTATGAGCCGAAATCAATGCCATGATATCCGGCCAAGCACCTTCCAAACTACTTTAGCAGCTGATCCATTCCTAAATTTTATCACTATCAGAGTGAAATTGAGTGACATTTTAATTAAAATATTGTCAAATTCTAGAGGGTAAAAAAGAAAATGTTGATTACGTAATCAACAGCCAAACCCCCCCCCCCCCCTCGTTATCAACCGTAATCATTTGAGAACCCCCTCCACTGATAACGCAATGTGTGAACGACCCCTAAATATAAATAACATAGGCAGTATTTGGGTAATTATGTAGTAATTGGGTAATTACAGTAATTACCAATAATTACTCATTCAGTTGTCAGACAAAGTTTTTCCGCCGTAAAAGTCAACTCAACAATGTAGAAAATATTAATCTTGAAACTCTGTTATCCTGTGCGACCTCTGTATGTAATGAAAAACAAAGCAATTGTTTATTGTATTCCAATTTGTAAAACTCATGTCAGCCTATAATTATATACAAAAGATGCACCATCGTTCAATCCATACATGGTAGGGTCTCAGATTTTGATCGTCTGTACGGAATCCATAATGGTCATATAAATGGTCTCTCTTTTAATCCAAAATCAAACTTATTAAAAACAGAATTTAACATAATATTTTATATCTGCCTCAGTCCTTGGTGTCCCCGATACCGTCGGCTCCTATGGAGAACACAGCCTCGCTCTCCGGTAAGCAAGGAGAGTCGTATATTTTACATATTCTGTTCTCGCCCCGTCCTTTGCGCAAGTAGAGGCGGGTTGTTGAGGCGTGGGCCATTATGTTACCTGAAAAATAGAGGTCTGGTAAAATATTAATAACCATATCATAAAAACTTGATATGCAACAAACTTTACAGAAGAACTTTTGATCTTAGAAGGAAAACGTACCTCCGATTGGTTTCTTTGGATCAGCGCTGAACATAGCTGATGCACCGTCTACTTGCGCAACAACCTAACAAATTAGTTGATTTAATTAAAGGAGAAACCAACTTGCTGAAGTTCAGTGCAGGTTCCAGTTCCAGTTGATTGTAGTCGTGCAATCGAACCAAACCTAGAGCCGAATCTGCCAAAGCTTAGCAACGTAAAATGTATAGATGAAATGAGAAATCCCATTATTTGAAGCTTTTAATTTTAAGTTAATGAACGTCTAATGCCGCTTAGGATCGTTTGCCTTGGCTGAGAAGAAAGTAAAGAAAGTTGATATATTAATTACATGATATGTGTGGTTTCAGTCGCAAAGCTATCACCAGTAAATGTAATAGCCGATCTATCAATACTAACCTGGTTGGTAATGACGACTGCAACCCCAAACTCGTCAGCTAGTCTCAGCAACATCCTCAGGAACCTGGCTAGATGCATCTGGCGAGCAGACAGTTCACCACGCCCACTGAAGTCTGTCCGGTACAGAGCCATTGCACTGTCCACTATCAGAAGGGCGTACCTTGACTCTGTCATCATACTGCTCGCCTGGTTAATATTCAGTTAACTTTCACCGACCACTGCACTGACTAAGGCGCCGGGGAGTGGGTCTTAATGACCAATGGGTTATTTAATCTGATAAATAAGACATCTCAGTTCTAGTTTAATTCAAATTGCACTTGGACCGCGATCCGCACTAAAGAATCGAGGTTAAAAACCGTTTACTTTTCAAGAATCTAACCGACAGGAGACTAAAAACTAACCTGCAATAACAGCTGTGTCTGATGGTCGGAGTTGAAAGCTCTAGCGCAGGCCACGTTATCTAACACAGCTGCCCCGTCCAGCCCGTACCTCTCTGCCACTGCAAGCAGTCTCTCAGGTCTGAAGGTTCCCTCTGTGTCCACATACAGACACTTTCCTTCCCCTCCCCCCATATCAGTGGGTAGTTGACACGTGACTGCTAGTGTGTGACACAACTGGGTTTTACCTTTGGAGGAACAACAGGTGAGGTTCTATTGTTATTTCACAACTTCTCAGGAGAGGGGGGCATTATAAAAACATGTCACGAACCAGATATAACAATTCCATGTTCATGAGATGAAGAACTGAAAGAATAAGATAACATTTTCACACAAGGAACTGATCGTTATATCCAATCTAACCTGTTCTGAATTCCCCGAACATCTCAGTAATGCTGCCAGTTTCAATGCCTCCCCCCAGCAGCTTATCTAACTCCTTACTCCCTGTAGTGAGCATGATTATCTCTGATCTTGTTCTGTGCAATTCAGTTGCCGTTGTGAAACCCATAGCACATCTCTTCATTGCTTCGGTCAGGATCTTGTCTGCTTTAGCTTCGCTGATGCCTGGATAAAAACTTATTCATACAACATGGCGTGAACCAAACTGTAGTAGCGAATGAGCAAGAACTGTTAACCCTTTTTAATTTAGTTATGTAAGTTAAAACCACCTTCAAGAACGTAAATCCTAAAAAAAGCAAGTAATCTAGCAATCGCCTCTGAGAGCACATCACACATACATGATTGCGTGGCTAAGAAAAGTTGTATATCGAAGCAATTACCTTTGATGACTAGGAGGGCTTTTTTGGGAGCATATGCTACACTCTCAATAGTATTATATCCTGCTTCAATAAGTTTCTTGACATCACTTGCTCCTGCAAAAGCGGGAATTTTAAGATACGAGGACGAGCCGCGCATTTATGTCAAAGATGTATGATCAGTATGGGTATTTGCTAAACAAAATGTCATAATCTAGTCGCGCGTTACGTACAAGCGATGCATTCATTTGTCTCTACTTAGGTTCCCAAACATGATCTGCCACCATATTTCCAATTCCGGATTGCCGTTATCTTTTAGACACTAGCTAGACGACACTCACTTAGGGTTGTGTTGCTTTACCTTCCACCATGTTCAGTATTAAATGAATCATTTGCTATGTGAGGTATCACGTGTTATGTGAGGTATCACGTGTTATGTGAGGTAACACGTGCTATGTGAGGTATCACGTGCTATGTGAGGTATCACGTGCTATGTGAGGTATCACGTGCTATGTGAGGTATCATGTGCTGTGTGGCGGAGTTATAAATAAATAACTTGTTTATTGTTTAGGAGCCCCCTAACTTTCAGTACCTCAATCGTGTCTTGTGCCATCCACAATCAACTCACTAACTCATTCACTGGTCATTCAAGAAAAATAGAGTCAAAACAATGAAATTTGGGTTGCGGAAAACTGAAATATGAAAACGTCCACCGGTAGGACATTTTCATAATTTTCCTTTCATCAAAGTTATAACATATGATATAGGAGTGTCACCCCCCCCCCCCCCCCCCCCCCCGGCCCCCCGTGATACAACAGCATATTGATCAGCTCACCAATTCCAGCAGACTCCAGGAGTTTGACGTGCTGGTAGGTGACACAGTCCTCAAGTTCCTCAGCTTGCTCGGACTGTGCTGCTGCAGCCGCACTTGCCATTCTGGTGGATAATATTATTTAGAGGTTTTGCTTCATCTTATCAATAAAACTCTTGATTCATCATGCACCACAATATACACGCCTTGATAAAAGGCTTTGTACATAGATGGGGATTGGGGACCAAAGTGTATCATAATAATTGTCACACTATAAACAAACTAAGTAGTCAATTCAAACGCATAGTATAGTTTACAGTCAGTACACTACAGCCAGTGGCGTAACGAATGGCCCCGCTGTGCAGGGGGGCGCCGTCTTAGGGGGGCGCCAAATCGTCGTTTGAATGTGGGACAATTTCGAAAACTTAACTAAAGTACTAGCAGAACTGCGCGTTTTGCTCTAGATAGGCACTTTTTTAGAGATTTCACCGGCGTATCCTCTAAAATCACCTAGTTTGTTCAATTTTAGGGAGGGGCACCAAAAGGGGAGGGGGCGCCATGAATAGGGGGGCGATTTTTCGGCAGGGGGGCGCCAACAGGCAATGTTACGCCACTGACTACAGCGAAACAAGTTTTTAGCGAAACAAGTTTTTAGTGAAACAAGTTTTTAGTGAAACAAGTTTTTAGTGAAACAAGTTTTTAGTAAAACAAGTTTTTAGTGAAACAAGTTTTTAGGCACATCAAATAACGGGGATATCATAAGGTTTGTGGGATTATTATTCATATATATATATGTAGTATAATAATAGTATTAGCTGATGCATTGATATAAGAGCTCTAGTTAATCTGACTAGTGGTTTACTATTTACCTGTGACTGAACGTAACAGATACTGCACCCCACCATAAACATGAACCAGAGGAACACAAACAAATTCAAATTCGCTCTCTTATTTATAATCAAATTATATAATAAAAATCATAAGCTATAAAGCAATTATTTTCGGTGTCAATATGTTATCCCCGTCGAGCAAGCAATATAATGCTTTAACAGGTAATAATATATCTACTTTCAAGTTGTATTCTATATCCTCGAGTTACAAATCAAATCAAATAATGATACATAATTATATCATCACAAATATTAATTAAAAAATCTTACCGTAATAATTTAAATTGTAAATTTTCATAAATAAATTCAATAAACTAAACCAAACGTTCAAGTTAGTAAACTTCTTCTTTGCTAAATAAAACCATAATGCTTACTCTTATTCTGCAAATAGTTATCTCCTTCAATTCTACTCATCAGACACTTTCCAGCAATCACAGTAAATTCCATTTTTTAAACTGTACTTTTTTAAATTATAGGTTTATCTTCAAATCGTTTAAACTATTTAAAGAGTCCCTAATTAAGAGCTTTTAATACGGCACTTTATCTTTGAAACAATATTGAATATTGATGCCTGATCTACTAATATTGAAATTTCCAACCTGCTGTATGGCAATGTTACACAACATAAATTTAAGCATATTATAGCATAGATTTTCTGTCACAATAAGACTGCACTCCATAGTAACAACCCTAAACAGAACCCTTTATCTCTGCCAACAATTGTTATATGAGCTTACTGAGCCTTGCCTTCAAAAACTCACCTGAACTAGCGTTTTGGTGAGTGCAAAGGAGGTTGTGCTTATACCTGTGGACATTCTCGTGAACTATAGTCTGGTTTATCACTGTTACTGGCAGACTTTTCTGAACCAACGAAGTCCAAGTCCTCTTCTGAGTTCTGATAGGACTCGCAGGTCTACTAACTCCTCATCAGTCCTCAGGCAAGTCACCTGATAGCGTGTCAAACGACTGCTTCAGTTCTGAGAGGGCAACTTCTCTATCTCGATCTCGGACTGAAAGAATAATTTAATTTGTCATATTCGTACCAATACTATCATTGCTAGGACACTAATTTCTCAAAAACACTCAAATTTGTAATATATTTGAAATGATCGGGGACGACATTATGGGGCTCCTTTCGAAAAATTCCATATGTTTGTCCTCAAACATATGGGTATTGTCAGGCTATATATTTCCAGTTTTACATATTACGCCTTTAGTTTATATTATAGGACCTTTGGCTTATATACAGGGTGGGCCAAAAGTCAGTGTGCAAACGTTGGCCTTAATAGCTCAGTCACTGAGTGCCCAATTGAAATACTTCCTTCTGGTATGACTTAGTACCACCACTGGTTCGAGGAATTTGTCAACTCGAAAAATATTTGCGTTCATTTTTTTCAAATGGATGTTCATTTTCACATTTATTTGATAGTTTGGATAGTCGGATCAAGCTAAATGTTATTGAATTGTGTTTGGCCATTCGAATTACGTTTGTCCTGAAAGAATTAGAACTGTAGCTTCTCAGATGACCGAGATTTGAAGCATAACGAGTTTATTCATTACGTGTGATCAGGTGATTGGTTTACCTAATCACGTGATAAGGTGACCCCGTTAACTACCCCGTTAAACATTATGGGAATTGTTAAGGGTGCCCAATTAAGGTGTCGTGTCACGGTGTCACATAATCACCCAGTCAATTTTGTTAACAAGATACACAAAATGCTTGATAACTTCGTCATTTCTAATTCGTTTTGCCTCATGTTTTCAGATCATATGCAACATTTGATAATCTACCGTCTCTAAAAAAATTAGGCGTTCAGCATGTTCAGAGAAAACAATATAGGTGTTTTAATATTGAATGGGCGTGGTCTAAATTATTCGAATTTTCAAATTTTGACGACGGAATCCTCGAACCAGTAAGTACAGTATGCCATCTGCAAAGCAACAGCTCTCAAATATAAAACACGGCGGAGGTATAAGACCCAACGTTTGCACACTGACTTTTGGCCCACCCTGTACTTTTCTTTCTTTTCTCGAAATTGATTTTATAGTTGTTTCTGATAGAGGAGAGTGATATCTATCTGCTGCTTTTGGTCCCATGGAAACATATGGGTATTGTCAGGCTATATATTTCCAGTTTTATATATTACGCCTTTAGTTTATATTATAGGACCTTTGGCTTATATACTTTTCTTTCTTTTCTCGAAATTGATTTTATAGTTGTTTCTGATAGAGGAGAGTGATATCTATCTGCTGCTTTTGGTCCCATGGAAAAATATTGTTCCTAGCCGAAGTTATCGCTGGTCAAAGGTCAGTGCTCATGCGTAATTGTATTGCGCGAGCGATTTTCAATCGCTCTCCCTGAAAATCTATCTTCTCCTACATTTTTTGAGCAATCACCTTGAAATTTCATGAAGACCCCCCTTGCCCCCTTAACTTTGTTATCTCTCAGGATATATTGTTATCTACAAGTTCCTGTGATAATTCTTCGAACACACTTTCACTATACTCAGTTGTCTATCATTGCCCCAGACTACAGGCTTACAGTATCTCTCAACTCATTGTTCGTCCTAGACTGTCTTCGTAGCCATTTAAAGTAAAGTAAAGTAAAGTCAAATTTATGACATCACATCATGATCACACAAGTCTACAAAATATTAACTGCACTGCTAGGGGTCAGAGCTATTTTCTGGTTTCCGTAGATAGTTCTAGTCCACAGTGGCACTGGTGGAGGCAACAGAGTAACAGGAGCAGGGACAAGATCTTTGACAATAGCAATGATCTCATCCTCGATTTGTGAGTCATAGAACTTAGACCTCATAGCTTTGCTCACAACATCCGACCCCTTTAGCTCCTTTTGCATTGTTTGCACTTGTGCATGACAGCTCGAAAGATTGGAGCTGCAAATACTTTACTGATTGATTGTTGATGATGTTGGCAAATTAATGTTCAACAATACAAACAGAAGGGATCCTTTATTACTACAGAATACTTGGCAGCGTTCAAGCACCAATTTGTAGCTGAGTCTCTTGGCTGCTAACAGAGATCTTCTGTCACATCGGTGATGATACATAGAGGGTTAACGCTTGTTATTACCTAGTCATCCTAGAAATTTTGAGGATCATACGAGCTTGTTGAACATGATACACGGTAATTAAATTTAGATGTCGTCCATGTAATTGCCAAAGAAAGCACAGGGAATGGCGAGTCTCTGATTGCACTTGTGGGACGGTACATTGCCCGCAAGCACAATCTGCACAAAATCACCAAGTTTGGGGAACTAATAAAGTTATGGCCAAATTTAGGCACATATTTCATGAAAACTTGAAACAAAAGACTTGAATTGGATAATAAATCAAATCAAATCAAGGATAATGACACAAACATCATCACTACCTTTTATTATCACTACTTTTTGTCATCACAACTTTGAATTTAATCATTCTTCCTAATTTCTACATCATCAGAACTGTGAACATATTATATGTTTTTGTCATATTATATCTGACTTAAAGCAGTTAAATTTAGGCTTAACTTGATCTCATGACAATATATTCGTATCTCCTGACAAAAAAGTATACCACAGTTTGAAATCAATTGAATGAATACAAAACTCAATATTACATCATACATGTGTGCGCTAAATGATGTCATGAAGTCGGCAAACTTCAGCGAAAAATCGGACATAATGGCGCTCGATTTTATTCCACTGATTCTGAGATTTTCGCTGAATTTTGTTCGCGGAACTTTTTGATTTCGTGAAACATTTTATTACCTGGGGACCCCAGGCTATTATATTTATATTCATAATCATATAATAGAGATTAGGCGGAATGACAGGCTGAGCACCGCGCCCAGTAAGCTATACTGTGTACTAGTTTGTGGTTCTTGTCACATGTTTTTTAGTTGTAGACTTACTGTTTCTGAACGTGATAGCCTGAGGTCTCCAGGTAATTGTAGACCTGCCGCGCACGAGTGCGCAGCTGTATCTTGGCTTTCGCAACAATACTAGTAAAATGACAATGGGGGCCATGCATGATGACGTAATACAAAGTACAAACTGGTTCTATAAACAAGTTTATTATCGGATGTTTACTTATATTTATTATATGATATTATTATAATTCATAATACATAATAGTTCAATTCATAGTCAATAATTAAATTAAAAATTGATTTTATAGTTCATACCAAGACGCCGCGCTTAACGGGCGACTCGTAAAATATTTGTTCCATAT